AGAGACGGGTTGTGATTATTGCTAGTATATTATTATTATTATTATTATTATTATTATATTATGGGGAATATATCATGAGACATCTCAAAAATAAATATATTGGAAAATGTTGTATGTATGCACTTGGCATGACAGCCCGTGAACGGACTCAGGCCTGCCGGCGACGTCCTTACCTCGCGGCCATGGGTTAAGGCGGTACGTGTGGTTAGCACGTAGTCATCCCTACGTCGTATTCTGGTCTTTTCAACCTGAGAAGTGAATTTTCTCATTGTCACACAGCAACGTATACTGGAAGTTTGCAAGGAAAACGCACTCTGTAGTCTTGGCTCGACCGGGAATTGAACCGGGGCCGCGTAGGGAAAATTGTTTAGAAGTAATATATTTTGGTGCCGTATATTTCTTCAGGTAAGACGATCGTCTGCTAAGACGAGTTACACACTTAGTTGAAGGTTTTATAGTTACAGCATATATCTGTCCTATAAGACTACTCCGAACTATCACCAGTCTATGAATTTAGATAAGGTCAGCAATCATCATTTCTTACAACTGGTAGCATTGCAGCATATCTTGCAGCACTGGCTTCTGCCAAACTTTCGCACTTATTAGGGCACTGTGTGGGCAAAACGTGTAGATTTTCCAATGCAATGGATGGCACTGAGGAAAATTTGTAATGAGATACTAATGACGAAGAGAGATTTGACTCCCGATGTACGCAATGGGATCCATATGACGTACATCTCAACAAAAAGTGAGGATGAACTTCAAGAACTACTTGCCTCAGATGATAAAAGCGAGAATTTAAAATTATTTTCCTTTGTATCTATCCTAGAAGACGACTTCTTACTTTGAGTGTGTGTGTGTGTGTGTGTGTGTGATTCGTGTATCGTCTTATATGCCGAAATATACGATACATATTGTAAAATAACATTGAACTTGAGAAGTTGTATGAAACTAATCAGTTTTAGTATTACTTTAAGAGCTTGTACGAGTTTTGAAAAATATCAAGTTTGCGTGTAAGACTTGATATTTATCATTATCATAATGAGGAATATGGAAAGATGGAGCTTCTGACCAAATATTGATATATAATTGATTCGATCCCGAACGTTTTAATGCACACTGCACTTGCTCCAAACCAGAAGCAGCGGTGGTTGGGGTGTGTGTTGTGTTTCTTGAAAGTCAAACGAAGGCCTGCCTACCGCGCAGACGGCCTCCGCCGGCTGGGTCCAGCGCCTCGGTTCGGGCGCGAGCGCGGAGGTGGCTTCGGCCCGTGGCAATCTCCGCGCACGCTCAGGCGTGCGACTCAGGCGGCGCCGAGTCGGAGCGAGTCGAACGGGCGGGCTCGTTATCGCGAGCTGAGCCGTCTGGCGCCGTGGGCGGGGACAGGGGCGAGGACGAGAACGAGGACGAAGAGTGGCGACGAGGCGGCGACGGCGGGGACGCCAATCTCGGGAGGCGGCAGCGCGCGGAACGGCGGTGGCGGCGGCGGCGTCTGCGGAGAAGCGCGAGCGCTGGCTAATTATGCGGTGGTCGTGAGGAGCCTGGCTCCCTGCCGCCGCCACCGTCTGCCTTCGCCTCGTCGTCGCCGCCGCACTCGTGTCCTATCTGCAGCCTTCGCCCCCACCTTTTTGCTGCCGCGTCTTCTACTGTAGCCCCTGCCGATGCGCACGTCTGGCTGTCCGCCGCTGTTTACTTCTCCGTATTTCTACTGTTCCCCCTCAGCTGCTTATGCTTGGAAAAGGTCTTCAAGCGAGGATTTGTGCATCCTCAGCTTCCTCAGTCAGTCACGTCGTTTTCGCTTTCTCCGCCCTGTCGTTTCCATACTATTTAATGCCTCCGCGCGCGTCCCCGCAGCCAGCACGTCTGTCTCCTCGTCGTCCCCTCTCGGCGCCGCCGCCGCTGTCGCGTCCGCCTCCGTCTCCTCGGGTGCCGCAGGCGCGCTCGGGCAATCCGTCATACCTGACAGTATAGGATCTTGCGGGGATTTGCCAACGCGGGCGACAGCAGAAGGGCTGGCGCATGCGCGGTTTCTCTTCTCGCAGCCTCGCCCCCTGTCCTCAGACCCGGACGCCTGCATTGCTAGCCACCCCACTGCCCCCGTTGCGTTTTCCACAATTCCCACCTTTTCTACACTCTGAACATTCAGGAGTTTTCCTCTCGTCTGTCTTTGTCACTCTTCATGCAACCCACCTCTATCCCTTTCTGTCCACCCCTCGCAGCCATGCTAACCTCTCTGCTCCTAGCCAAGCCCCTCCGCTACGTCACGCAATGTTCAACGCTGCCACCTCCACCCCCTAACGTCAACCCCGTCCCCTCCCCACCCCGTCCCCACGCCCCTCCGTCGCCCGCGCGTTCCGTCCCCCGACCGCCCCAATCCCCATCCCGCCCTGTTCGCCGCCGTACCGTCCGTCCCTCCGCCCGTCCTCGCTGCCCGTCCCCAAGTGCCCTTCCTCGCTGCCGCGTACCCCTCGTCTATGCCCCGATCCCCACGCTTGCCCCTTCCGCGTCGCTGCCTCGTCCCAACGCTTTGCCCCTTCCCGTTCGTGCCCCGTCCCTACGCTGCCCCTTCCTCGCGCCTGCCCGTCACCCCACGCTGCCACCTTCCCCTCCCGCTGCCCTGTCCCCTCGCTGCCCCGTCCCCCGCTGCCATTCCCCTCGGCCTGCATTCGTCCCTGCCTGCACACAGCCCTGCTCGCCAGTACCCGCGCCTTTCCCTTCCCATGTTCACCATCGTTCACTCGCTGTTCACTGCCACGGCGCTCCGACTTCGCTCCGCTCCGACCCTCGCCCGCCCAACACGTGCCGGCCACCTCCTGTCTCACTCTCTGCGCCGCCCTGTCCTATCCCTCCCCTTCTCCGCAACACTCAGTCCCCGCCCCCGCACGCCTCCGATTCCCCCGCCATCCCGTGACCATTGCCGACCCTCTGTCCCTTAGCCGCCCCCGCTCCCCCGCGCCAGCGCGTCCCCTGCCCCACTCCACCTCTGTCCCCACACCCTAGTCCTCGGACCTGCCCTCCGGCCTCATTGCGCTGGCTTCCCCCTGTCCCCCTCTCTCTGCACGAGTCCGCTCGAGCCCCGTGGCGTTGTATTTGGCTTGGGGTACTTTGTGGCTCGCGCCTCTGCCCTGCCGGCGATTACCAGGAAGGAGCTGAACGCTGTTTCTGCCGCCGCGTGCAGCGTTACTCAGATCGGAAATTGCATTGCGTCTCCTGCCCCCTCGCGTTATCTGGCCATGTTTACAAAGCACAGCGGCCCAATAAACTTATCGCTGCGCGTTGCTTTTGGTTTCGTGCGTCGAAATTGCTGCCCGCTGTTGTTATATATCGCGCCTGTCAAAATCATGTGAACGAACTTACTTCAAAGATACGTAATTCGTTTGCGCCCAAAGAACTTCTATCTTGAGTGCATTCTTAAAAGAATAATATTGTAATCGAGATTTAGCCGTACGTCGCCTCTTCGTACACCAATGCTGCTCTGAGCTACTGATCAGTTGAAGCTTCGCACTTGAATAGTATTCATTATGTAATATGTTTTTTTTGTCGAAACATAGACTCATTTCATCAAGCTTATTTTAATTTAGTCAGCGATTGTGACATTATACGCCACCAACACACAGCCCACATGTAGTCCTATATGTAAATCATACAAATTAAATGTTGATATAATACACTATATCTCTTATATATTATATATATATATACTATCAGTATATAGTTATATTATTGAATATAAATTCATTCTGAATACTTGAGGGCTTTAGTGTGATTTTTAGCCCACAATCTTGTGAGTCATCTTCTAGCTTACACATGCCCTCGATCTCTCCTGCAGCGATCTTATTTTCTCCGCGAGATGCAACGGAGAACACCTTGGTTCTGCTTTTCTTGACATCTTGCGTTTATTTACAACCTTGAACCCCATTGATATACATAATAACGCAGTCACTGCTTTATGGACGCTTATCAAAATTTCTCCACTGACCCTGCTTTGCCCAAGAACGTGCTTATAGTGATTTTTGCCTCTCCCGTTCTTGCAATATTTTTGTTGTTTTGGAGCTCTAAATCTCAAAATTACTTATAATTCTGTAGATTATAATATAATAGTGACATTCAAATCTAACTTACCACTACATACATACTTCGTAACTTCAAATTAACTTCTCCCCATGCACCGCCACACACAGTTTTTACTTTTTTACGCGATAAATAAATAAATTAAATAAATAAATAAATAAATAAGATAAAACTACCAATAAAAAATAATAAATAAAAATAAATAAATAAATAAATAAATAAATAAATAAATAAATAAATAAATAAATAAATAAATATTTAAGGAAATGTTATGTCGACAGAGTTTTTCTTATCTTATCTATTCTTCACGATCTTCTTATTTAGTTTAGAAACATCAAATTACGATTGTTTTTTCATCATTGTAATAGGACTTTATACAGAAAACGTCCAAATTCCAGGTGACGGTCTGTCCAAATGACCAGGCAAAATGTGACGGTCTATCTAAAGATATAACAAAATGTATTAAGAATATAATTTGTTTAATATTTAATTAAACCTTAAATCCAATAACGATTTTCTTTGTCATCGATATTAATCAGTCACTTTTTTTAGGAAATCTCTCGGGCATCTGATGTGTTTCTTTCACCTGCACCATATCATCTGTACAGAGTCCTATTTCGCAACTGGAGTTTAATCTTTTTTAACAAATTTTCTCCTATAATATTGGTAACATACATAAATGAATAGAAAAAAATCGAGTTGTCTTTTCAAACATTACTGGTTTTATTAATGAGCTGCAGAATTCCACCAATCATTATAAATGCAACTTTTCTCTGCCTTTAGCAGCCTTTTATATTGTTTTTATTTTCATTTCATTTGAAAATAATAAACCCTGTCCATGGCCCACTTCGATGAAGTGTTGCTGAGACATGCATTGGTCCTAAGCAGGGCTTAGCTCCACGTCCAATGAAGGAATGGTGGTGTTGCAGGCCCCGCAGCTGCGGCCGTGTGAGCGGCCGTGAAAACGCAGGAGGCCCTGCGCCGTGGCCGCAGTGCGCATCCGTCTAGGCGTCCGTGCTCTTCGTTTGTATGACGATTTACGTCGCCACTCGGTGAGTCTCGGGCGGCGCTCCCGCCTCGGCACGTCTTCCCGCTACTCTCCCCCTCCGGCCGCAGCCGTCCCTTCCCACCCACCTCGTCGCGTCCCACTGTCACCGTCTCGCCGCGACCTCCAACCCTCTTCCCCGTGCCCTCTGACCTCCCCCCCCCCCGCGCAGGTCCGCGCTCTCGCACCGCAGGGCCTCCTTTAGGGAAGGCTTTCTTCTCTGCCACCCCTCTCCCGCACTCCTTCATCCTCGTCCGCTTAGCGCCGCACTTTTGCTGGCGAGAGAGTTCTTTTCAGATATGACGATATTCTCCGCGCACACGTCCTTTTCGTTGCAATAAAGAATTCTGAAAGATTGCTCTTCTGTGGAGGGCTCGCGTCTTCCGGCGCCCCTCCCCGTCATCGCAACCCGCGACCTGCCCCCATTAAATAGGTAGCCGTAAGTCGGCTCCGGGCGGCGGTCGGGGAGGCTGGAGAGCGCAAGTGGGGGGAAATGCATCTTCTTGCGACTTGCTGAATGAAGGCGACCTTAGCAACGTCACAGAAGACGCAAATATTAGTACGTAACATTGCGCTCTGACGCGTGGGCATTGACTGTGGAGTGAAAAACACTAGAAAATACATATTTCGTTTACTCAGTTGGAAATGTTGAATAGCTTCATTAATTTATAGATAATGTTGTCATTCCTGCGAAACATGTTTAACATCTCGTGTTGTCTTTCGGAGACGCAGTTGCGTGTTGAAATAGACCTTTTTGGCGTCAAACCTCGCCGTTTTTACGTCTGAATAATATTCCCGTCATAGAATTTTTGCGAAAGATTTTTATATTTTACTTCTAAATATTTTCCTCGTTTTTATATTGGTTGATTGAAGTACTCAGTTTCTTACTTTGCATTTTCACTGCCGTACAAAATGAATTTCAAATACCACAGTCTATACGAGAGCGAGCTATTTTAACTTTTTAGATATCATTATTTATCTTTTGAAAATTTATCAGTGCTGAGTAAAATCATATGTAACTTTATAACGACCTCTATTTCATGATACTTGACTTGGATTTTTCATTGCTACGTGTTTTTCGTGAATACCTGGAACTGCCATTTGCTATCATATTCAGTTGTATCCGGAATGATCTCGCAGGAAAAACCGCTGTCAACGATTCGCAGATTTATTTCAAAGGAACGTACGGTTGGTAAACACTCTAGTTCCGAAAACTTTCCTTCTTTGATGAGCACGAAATTTAGATGTAAATGCACATGACCGGACGTGGTCATGAATAACAATTGTCGATGTAACTGCCATCGCATTCTGGGCTTGGGAAGCACCCGCCTATGGAAAACATGTGTCCGGCTTCGCCCGCCTTTAAACTTTTTTAAAAATCTATTTCTTTTCCTTCCAGCTGAGGCTTTTTAAAAATTATAACTACTATTGTTACGAAATGAGGAATTGTTCGTTAATAATACGACAATATTCTTGGAATCATAATTATACCTTTTCAATTTCAATACCCTAACAATTTCTAGTGCAATGTTTAGTACGGTAGATGTTGCCATTACAAGGCACTTGTAGAAATACGAATATAAATTAGCTTATGCATTCCTTAGTATATTATCGAGCAGATAGGCTTGGAATGTAAGAAACTATGTAGTTCTTCATTTTGTGCTTAAAATACTTTAGACGGTGCAACAAAAACACCTGCGGTTTCAGTGTTACATGGGCGCTACTTGAACTGGTATTTAAAACTTCCATGTCCGATTTTTTACGAGCACCGTAGATTCTAGCTTGGGGCTCAGGGCTGCTCTTTGGTCTTTCCCAGGCCCCGAAACCGCGGCATATCGGCTCTGGCTACAGCATGAGGCCCTTCAGAACGCTCTTCTGTTTTGTGTTGGTAATTGATCCGCGCTTCTACGGCGCTAAACATTCAAGTCTCGTGCCACGCACATTAATATTTCTGGCGCTTTTTTTCGTTTCTGTGAACATGAGCCGAGAGAAAACGAAACATTTCATCGCGCGCTCCTTCAATTGGTTTTAATTAAAACTCAAATGAATTCCGGCGCTTGTCAGCGGCGGTGACCGCGTGCCCGACGCGAGTGAGGGAGCGGCCGAGGTGCGTCCCTGGGGAGGGCGGGGCGGGGCGGGGGC